CCCTGCCACTCGAAGATCGAGCTGCTAACGTTCCAATGGTACCATTGTCATTCATCAACAGACAAGTTAGACCAGACCACCCTGCATCCGCTTGGCATAGTAAGTTCGATGTCCAGAAAGCTTGTCCTTGATCTGTCTGTCTGCATGCTGACTTGTATTTTTAGATCTCAAACTCGACGACGTCGATCCTGGCGTTGAAGATCTTGACGATATTGCCGGTGGACAATTATATCGACTTCGCAGAGGTGGCATTGCACTAAGCAATGGTAGCAGAGGTGGCCATTCTGCAGGTCACGGTCGGGGTGGAGCTTCAAACAGAGGTGGTCGCGGAAATTTTGCAGCAGGAGGTAAAAAAACTGATAACTCTGGTGCCGGGTATGTATTCCCTGAAAATTATGAAGCCATAATAAATTGTTCATTCCGAACTAACAAACCACCAGTCAAACTTATTACAATGATGCGAGACGCGGTGGCAAATCACATGCTAAAGTTGATGCTGGCATTGCTCTTTTACAACGCGAGGCTGAGTCCAGCAGAAAGAATCGAACTGCAGGCCGCTCTTTCAAGACGCCTCAATCGACATCCATATCTACAAAGCCAGTTCTTCGAGCTGCGTCTCCTGTAGTCGCTCGTGCTGCTCCTCCTCAAGCAAATCGACTTTTAAATTCGAGATTCAAGCTCACCAGCCCTGCAACCTTTCTTTCGCACAATAATATTGGCTTCAGCCCAGTTGCAAGCGCTCCCGAGCCTGTTGTTTCTGCACCACAAAACAAAGTCGATGATGATATTTTGGTACCACCACCAGCTTCTAAATTGGCACCCCAAGGTGGCCTTGCGGCTTCTCGGTGGGCATTGTCTTCAGCTCCACTTGTCGACATGTCTGGATCAGATGACCTCAGTCGATCTGCTACACATGCCGATACTGCGAGCGCCTCGGCGTCGGTCCCCTCTGTTCAACAAGTCGTACCTGCCATTACCACTGGCGCTTCAATGTCGATTTGTTCTGCTCAACAGATCACGCCAATTGTTGGTGCAAAGACGTCGGATGCTGATGATTCTGTTCGGTCGGTACCACCAGCAATGTCAACAACTGCTTCCGAGTTGACCCAATCTGTTCAACATGCTACTGTTGCCGCCAGCCTAACGTTAATGACAGATGATGCAACGATCTACCCCAAACCAGTCATTGTTCGCTCTGTGATCGTTGAGAGACCGGTCAAAGTTTGCAAGAACAACAGTACTTACAAACTCGGAATTGCAAGACTTATCAAACTCGATCACAAATCTCCTTTAACCCTCGAAGTTCAAATTAATAACGAGGTTATTATGAGCGAGTTATTGTCAGAGGCTGCGATATTAGAAGTCATTACGAAGGATGGAAGCACTGGGAATATTGTCACATATCGGGCCAATTCTACGACAGAAAAGATACCCACCTGGAAGTTAAAATTTCAGCTGCCTGGTGACGCAAAGCGTTTTGTTAACTATCATACTTTCAGACTCTCAGAGTTGAGACGTAGCGGTGGCTCTTCTCACTCCTCAGAACAAGAAGGCCAGTATCCACTCGTACTTCTGTCCCCCATGTCATCATTGACAGAAAAAGAGAAATCCGATGCTGAAAAAGCCTATCTTACGAACAGAATCAGCAGTTCTACATTTGCTGATCTTCTTTTGATTGATAGCGAAGAGATTCTTGTCCCACTCCATGAACAGGAATGCAAAGCTGAGGATAATCAAGTTGAAGAGTACTCCCACTTCCAGGATCTTTTGAGCTTAATGGAAGGGGATATTGTTGAAGGTACACTCCAGGTTTTGAATGCGAATCACGGCGGTTCTTTTTATGATCACGTTTTTCACTTGGCCAAGAATGTAGGACTTGAAAAAGATGCGCATTTCATGAAACATGCCAAAAATGTTTTTATTGGCGGACTGTCATCCTCTCGTTATTCAAGCTCAAAGCCAATCTTGTCAGTCACCGAAGAACTTGTTTCAGACTTTTTGACAAGATCTGAAACATTGCTACGCTTTCCTCAGGAGTTTATTGACGCCTACATCAAGGAGATCGCCAAGAAAATTCTCGACATGGCTCAAAATTCTCATAACGGTACTCAATCGGCGACTCCCGTCCCCGCTGAGAAATCTGGTTCTGTCCAGGCTGTCGAATTGACTGAAGTCTCTGAAATCGTTGATACTATCAAGCCTGTGGAGCCTCTCCAAATTGTTGAAGCTACCAAGCCCACCGAAGCTATCAGCCCTACCCAAGTTGCCAAGCCTGCTGCAGTCACCATGAATGTTATTTCCAGACCTAAGCGAGTGACTTATTCGATTCAGGAGATGATGAAGATGCGACCAGATGCCACCTTGACCAGTGAAGTACTCACCGCAAGAAATTGTCTCGAAAAGTACCTCCCTGGACATAAGCTACAATGCAAGAACTCACCCAGAGCTACTGCAACAAAACTCCAACCCTCTGAATGGAAGACTGATTTCAGCAGCAAAGTTAACTTTGAAGAAGTTTCACAGAATCTTCGACAAGATGAGCATGCACCAGGAAAGACCAGCTTTGTAGCCTCATCAGGCGCTGCCAATCCTCCAGAGTCTTCCGGTGCAAAGCATGAAACACCAATCAACGTCAGCAAGAGCCTCTCCTCCGCAGATGTTAATATTGAAAGTATCGAAAATGGTTTGACTCTGTCTATTTCTGCTGAAAATGATGTCGACAAGCCATCAGTTGATGCTCATCACCATGATAACTCTGATAAGCCCAGTGGAAAATACTCCATCACTTCTCAATCCGCTACTCATAATTCATCCAAGAGTTTGTCCGCGGCCGATGAGAACAAAGCAGAGGACAAGATGGATGCTCGAAGCGGCGATGGTCTACCTAAGCTTCCATTAAACAGAGGTCTGAGCACTTCTAGGTACGCTAGGCTAGAAGTCATTAATCAAGCAGCCGTTCTTCGTGCTTCATCTGGTTACAACCCTACTGCACGTCAAGTTGTTAAGAAGCAAGAATCTCTACCCCCTAAGCCACAAGCAACTTCGATCAACGTTGAAAGCTCCGAGGTTTCCAAGAATGAACCTAAAGGTCTTGCTTCCACCTCCGAAACCGAAAAGTCCAAGTCCCAAGAGACTAATCCAAATACTCTCGCCAAGGTCATGAAGAATGAGATGAATGGACCCAAGGTAGTGGGACAGGGTACTCACAGAAGTAAGCATACAGTGACAAAGTCAGACGTCGACAGACTTGCCCAAGATTTTAGTGATTTGGACGTTAAGGCGGAAAAGGATAATGGCACAGTGGCCGCCGTTTCACCAGCTCCAGAGCGCAGTACTAGCCCTACAGTTGAAGAGCTTCTCCAAAAGAAGCGCGCGAGTGGATTATCAACGTCTAGATGGGCAAGCCAGGCTTCTGCTTTGAAACGCTCAGCTCGTACTGGACAATCCATTCCGAAGACGAGCTACAGTCAGTTGACATCGAGCATGCCGCAAGATAACAGATTGTTTTCTCCTCAGAGCGCCGTAGCTATCACATCATCTCGCCCGTTCCCTCCCAGATCCAACATGTTGAATGGAAGACCTGCCGACGCAGATAGCAATGATGTGCAGAAGGCTACTGCGCCAGTTTTCACAGCTTCCCCCCAGGAGAATGAGAGTACTGTCGGTAGACCAGTCTTGTCCCCAGTTCGCAATCGTCAGAATCCACAACAAGAAGCCGTTCAGGTCAGACTCAACAAGAGCTTGGCATCAAAGCGAATGTAGGATAAATGTGGCAAGGTAGCGATATATTAATTGTAAATGCGTTTTAACGAGAAGTTTGGACAATAAATAAGGGAGTCTCCCCGTCACAGCGAAGACTACCAAAGGAACTTTTATAGCATTTTCAAAGATATATCGAATACCAGATATACCAGCGTAACACTATGTTGCACCTTGATCGTGAAACCTTCTCCCCTTGTGAACTGTATCCTTTTAGAACCTTCTTCCTATAATCTCCTAGTTCTTCGGCACCTAGAGATCGTAGTTATAATGATGGCCATGTAATATTAGATTCAGATCTATAATTAAGTGACACAGAGACGAACGAGTAGAATAATCAAGTGTTGGTAAATCTCGCTAGCGAGGCTCTCTCTACGATACCCCAGGGCTCTTGCATTAGTATGATTGAGTCTTGGTGACTTTTAGATGAACTATACGTTTCTTGTGAGTTTATTACGTTATAGAGAATCGGAAGCTATGCGGTATCTATGGTGTTTTGATATGTTTATGAGGGTGAAATTTCGGTGTGTGAATTGAAAAGATATGGAGATGGAGATGGAGATGGAGATGGAGATGGAGATGGAGATGGAGATGGAGATGGAGATGGAGATGGAGATGGAGATGGAGATGGAGATGGAGATGGAGATGGAGATGGAGATGGAGATGGAGATGGAGATGGAGATGGAGATGGAAAAAGGAAAGTGGATTTGTGTGTTGATGGTAGAGGAGGAGTAGGGGGGTATAGGGTAGGAGATGTATGGACTGGGTTTGGTTGGGTTGGGTTGGTGCGGAGGGGGATGAGGGTGGGAAGGGATGGGGATGGGGACGGGGATGAGAAACGAGGATACAGGAGTGAAGTCTTCTCGTCTACTTGAGATTTAAGGGGTATCTGAAGTGGTTGGATGTAGTTGGTATAATGCTTAAACTTGATTTGGAAAACTGGACAGTGATGAGTAAGTTTGTACCTAGGTAGTGATATGCAACAAGTTATTATCTTATATATTTCTCATCGAATTATTTACATTGGTATTGGTATTTGCCTGCTGCATCAATCGGATGAATGCAAATTATGAATGGCCATGTGGGAATGGCCATGTAGCAGGAAGGAAAAGAGCGTATCATGATACACCTCGGTTTTATAACCCTTTTGGGGGAATCCCATCTCTTTTAGAAATCTGGGGAACCATTCGCCATGAATGCGAAATTTAATACACTGATGATGAGATTTTTTACCGTCTCATTCAGCGGGTCAAGTCGCCATGAACTTTAACTATCATCTCCAGTATCGAAAATGAAAAAATGATGGACGGTAAGACGAATACATCAATCTTGACAGAGCCGGTCAAAAGCTGTACGTACGGAAATCCTCTCCAAAGAATTATCATCCCAAGAATCATACCAAGGATGATGTAGCTTTAGAAAAATTAGCTTGAACACCGATGGGAGCGGGGGGAACATACGGGGTCCCAAAATTGTATTTCTTGACCCCCAAAGAGAATGTATTCCAAGTAAAGATAGCCCCCGCAACAAGTAAGCTGGAAACAAACACAAGTCAGCTATGCAGTATCCAAGAGAAAATCTTTATGTACAACATACCCGGCGAGGAGCCCACCCGTCATATCCTCGGCATCGCGGAGATATGCGAAACAAGATGTTGAAGCAGCCATACACGTAGCACTCAGAAGTCGATTCTGCACTCTTCTGCAAAAGATCCTCCTGATCGTTTCGCATACAGCAATCACAATCAATGCGATAAGTGCTTCAGAACTCAGATTTAACAAGTGCATGCTCTTGTCTATCAGGCTTTGGAATAGTTTTGAATCGTTGCGAAATGTCAGCGATGTCCTTATCTCGCTATTCTCGGGCGGTATTGCCCTGCCCGACACGCCGGTCAGGATGTTTGCCATGAGGACACTTGTAAAAAGTCGTTTCTTATGGCCAGGGGCGGTGAGTAATGTACTCAGGAAGCTGAAGAGTTTCAAAAGAAGACCTTTTGGCGATAGTCTCTTACTCCTTGCTCGACCTGATTGTGTTTTTAGCTTAGTATTGTGGGCCTCATTGTCGAGATGTTTCGTGGCTTCATTCATTGGTTTGTTTCGGGGTGATGTTAGACTGTGGCTCCATATCTTGTTGGGAAGAATGCCACGAGCTCTGCATGGTGTTCGTTCCTTTCGCTCTCTGAGGATAAGTGACAGCTCATGATGTTCCTCTTCGTCACCAGGGCTGGAACCCAAATCTTCAAACCGGTCATTCCCTTTAGCCATCTCGAAAAGTGTTATCAACTCCAACGGGATAGGCGGTACATTTTCGAAGAACTCGAGCAAGGAAGATGCACCACGCTGCCACAATTCAGCACGTATAGAAAATTCTGGTGCTAGTCTACGTAAATTAGGAGTATCAGGTAAAAGATGAAAGCCTCTGAAGAAGCTGAGAAGCTGTTCATTTAAGGTATGAAGCGTTTTAATGAGAGCTTGCCATGGCCCTTCATCAACCAAGAGCATGTGCTCGAAAATTACAAGGCCAGCATATATACCTTTGACTGATGCTACGAGCTCTGTTTGTGTCATAGGTCTCGTTTCTTGCCAAGAATAGAATTTATAATATTCGAACTGGGATCGTGGTCCACTGTGGGGACTTGCATTATCATGGCTCTGTTTGGCACGGTATTTTCGAGGCGGAAGTGGAGGAATCCCCGAGTCTTTATGGAACGGCGATACTAAATCGACTGACATACCACCCCCTTCGGCGGTCCTCTTGTTTGACTGATCTTCTGTTATTGCATCATCGTGTATACACCCTTTTTCGCATAATCTTGTGGGATGTTTAAAGACAGAATTCACTTCGTATGATTTCCGAAATTGTTTGGACTCTTCTGGTGTGCTTGGGAGCTTGTCCTGGTGATTATTTTGTGCATGCATCCACAAATCAGATTCCGAAAGGAACATCGCCCTACCTGTGTGGATGCAAGCCCATGTTTTCGTTGTCTTCTGGTTTCTTCGTTGATGTTGTATCCACAGATCACTGAGGTCTTGTCTAGTGCGGTTCATTTCTGTTTCAATCAGCTCTATATCTGGTCGGGTTATATACGCATTTTATAAAATGATGAGCATACCGATGTGGATGGGCGTGATGTCTTTCCCGACTCCAAATCCAGCCATGGCAGTTGAACAGGGGCTTGAGGCTATTCCACTGTAAATTATCTAGTGATTAGACACTCATTAATGGAATGATGGAAAAGAGACCAAGATCAATGGAGTGTGCTGGTTGTATGCCGTGTGAAGGAGATGATAGTGGAGAGAAGAGTTGTGGTAAGTGACCGAGCAGCATCTAAGGATGTAATGATTGTATGGTAGGGTTGCATTGAGGCTGAGCAAGGCTGATCACATGCTGTCAACTTATCATGTCGTTTGAACACTTTCGCATCTAAATACAATCCAACTATCGTAGAATCAGGACATCCTCAAAAGTTCTTTCTTGCAAGTTATCGCATGTTGGTATGTACAATAACCATCCGCAAAATGGCAACAGGGAAAACATACGGAATGCGAAGAGGATGCACTAATTAAGATCGTGCAGACAGCTTCTCAGAACGATTCGCAATTTTGTGAGGCCATCGGCAAACATAAATTGTCAGACACCGTGTCCATACTTTTGGGAAGTACGCCAGAGTTTCATGATGTTCTGGACAGCGCCTATCCAGCTCGCTATCCAGCAGAGCAACAGTGACGTTGGTGACGTCGCTGGTTCCTGCCAGAAATCGCACAGTATCATTATAACCGTTCGAAATCGTGATAGCTCGCCTTTGAAGGAAGAGGAACACCGTCACTCGCACAATCATACACCCACATTTTATGTGAAAGAAGGTGAGGCTAAGTCCGACAGCATAAGACAAAAGATAGAACAACATTACAGGGCCCATATTACACTTGTTGAGGGTGATGCTGAAAGAAGCTGTAAACCCCACATAGGAAGCACTGCCTTTCTATCGACCGAGAATTCACATCGATGCCTTCGTGCTATAACAATCAACACGCCCTCCCTTGTAGGGAGTGCTGCCTTTCTACCAACCGAGAATCTGCAAATGTGCCTTCGTGCTACACCAATCAACATGCTTCCCATAAGGAACACGCCCCCCCTTATGGGAAGCATTGCCTTTCTACCGACCAAAAATTCCCTACAATACTCATGTGCGGATCTCATGAGGATCAGATTCTGGGATTATAAACTCTGCAGACGCCAAGTAGAAGGTAATAATCTTTCAAGTTTCGCTTGTGGAGCGACCGAACATCGACTTGCAGATAAAGAAGTATCTATGCGTGATAATTTGATATATGCAGAATTCGATGTCGATATTGTCAAGCAACAAATTGTTCGTTCCTATCGTAATCCAGCATTGCAGAGCAATCATCGCAAGAATCGAATATGCATCAATATTTGCGCAGTACCCGGAATGGTCATTTCCTCGTATGCATTATCGAGATACATTGTACAGACCTCGCTACCAACGACGACGAAGACGATGTTGCATGTAAGAACATAAATCTACTTTGTGTCGCTCCTCTACTTACGTTGTTTGTTTGCTAAATTACCACGCCATACTAGCGCAATCTCACAGGATTCCCAACTATCAATCATCCAAGCTCCACCACCTTCGTAGCCGCGCTCCTCATATACGCCATATGCTCCATGTCAATGTACCGAGCGAACTCACATCACTTCTATCAACAACATACGATCTTTCTTTTCACCATCGGTGTTGTGATATTTCAACTTTTTCAATATCCGAGTCTGAATGAAGCTTTGGGTATGGCGGCGGCTGTAATACCTGCTGGTGTTACAATTGCAATGGTTGTAAGCATGATAGGCCACTTTTGGTCGCCTAGTCATGAGGAGACCGCATTCCAGGATTTGATCAAGAACATCGAGAAGATGGTTCGTGAAGGAGAGATTTTGTAACAGGCAAGCTTTCTAAACGAGGCATAAGCACATTCGAGTGTCATATTATCTGATCAGTATCTTGTGCCTTGAGCCTCGAGAGCCTCTAATTAAATATTCCTAAATTCTGAACATGTCTTTTTTCAGATGCAATACTTGATTATGAAGCAGTGTGCAGCATCTGCAAAATTTTTGCAGACAGAGTTTTTGCAAACAATGCCAACTACTGCACCTTTTAGACTCGTTGTTTCCTGTCTTGTTTTCTCATGCGTTTCTGCGTGCACCCAATACCGTATTTTCCGCCGGTTGCTTCCATTGCATGTAAGGTTGGAGTAGAAGTGACGAATGAAGTGATTTATGTTTGGGAATATCAGATATACCTAGGTCCTAGGAGACCCACTCAGATGAGTGGTTTCGGTCTCTCCTTTCCCGCCTAACCGTAAATCGAAAGGGTGGCAAATATACCACTAGGTAGCTAACAATGACCCTGTCAAAAATCACAAAAATCGAATCCATCAATTGGCAGATATATCTTCTGATATCCTCAAAAGTTTTGCATCTTCGAATTCAACATGAGGTATTTCATCAGCATCAGCCACAAAATAGCGTTGAGCCCATGCTGCCGACTCTACCTAGTAGTGGTGGCTAATGAATCTATTAGATAACCTTATATGGAATTAGATGATTCAGGAGGAGTGGTCATCGACCCAAAATTAGCAAATACCGTACCGTAGATCTTACTCTGCACTAATAGGTGATGATCCCATTAGTAGCAACTCGAAGGAAGCTGATAGTTCTAGAATAGATTGAGATTTCATATTGTAGATACGGTACTTGCTGTAGCCACCATGTGCAACAAGTTCATTCCTAACCTTACCTACCTCCCTAGTAGGTATACCAATAAAGCGAAGGGTAGAAGCACCACTAATAAAGGATGGAGTAATATCGGATCAAAATGCTTGCTTGCTTGCAGCTTTTTGCAGCCCATTTTGTGGGGACGAATGGTTGCACAGCACGTGTGAATGACAGGCTTAACTTCCAGTTTCTCTCGAGTATCGCTCCCGTTTGCTTCTTTATGAAGACTTTTTCTTTTTTTTATGATCGAAACTGGAATAGAATGGATGAACGAAGAAGAACCCGAGTAGGTAGTTAAACTTCTAGTAGATACTAGGATCGATACTAGTCAGCTTAGCATGGCTCTTTGTGAACTTCCCTAGTATCGATATAAAACATCTTTGTAAATATAATGTGATAATACAACATTATACCCAAACACAATATAAACCTTCACCCTTGGAACGTTCATAATCACGCTTTTTTTATACAAAGGTATTTTATATATATGTTGTGCTGACACCGGGAGTCCTTCATTTTTGCTGCTGTGTAATTGTGTTAGCGTCGGAGCTATTATAGCGCCTCTTTTGTAGTCTTGGTTACCCGAATCCATCAACAACGAACCTCGATTACTTTCTTACATCTTCAAGAAAGCAATTTTCGTCTTTCACACATCAAATATTCTTCTCGAAATAGCCAGTAACTAGAGTGCTACTCATACTGGAAGCAAAATCGTATCACTATTTTTCTACGGCGAAGATGAACGTTTTGCTTCCAACTCAAGCGTCGTTCTTTTCATCACCTCACCGTAACCCCATTCATACTCCAGGTAAGGAACCCCCCCTTTTGCATCCATTCTCACATTTGATACTGACAACGAATTACAGCCTCTCCGCACACAAACCTCAAAATGGGCAGTCGAAAACGAAAAGCCGATGACGATGGACTCGATGATAAAATGTCTATTTCTCCTACAAATAGCCCCGCCCTGGCCACACGACAAATCCCCCGACCCTCCAAGAAAGTTCGAGCTAACGAGATCACCGGCCGACCTCTCAACCTCCCTCGTCTTCTCGAAACCCTAGATGCTCAGTCATTGAGAGCGGTTCTCCAAACTATCTGCGAAAGACACCCAGAGATCGGCTCGGAGATTGTCACTTCAGCACCAAGACCATCTGTAGAATCCACCCTTGGCGTCCTTCACAAATACCAAAACGAATTACGGGAAGCTTTTCCTTACGGTGGCAGTCCTGGATCGGATTATGCCTACGATCGAGTTAAGCAACAACTCACAAATCTTATTGATGCTTTGGTCGATTTCACACCGCATTACCTCCCACCGAACGAACAACAAACCGCTACTTCTCTCAGTTTCCTCGATAGTGCCACCAAAATTGTTCACGATCTTCCAAACTGGGACAGTCAGTCTCATAAACATCACAAGGACAATGCGTACGATGAAATTTCAAGGGCTTGGGCTTTGGTGATTAGTGAAGCCTCCAAGCGTGGGGGAGGATTCCAGCTTCATTCTGGTGGATGGGACCAAAGACTTGCTAGGCATAATGATCAGAGTGGAGGAAAGATGCAGATGGCAGTCGACGCACTCGGTACAAACCTTGGTTGGATGGGAGGTAGCTCTGGAGATCCAGATTCTATCCGCAATCAACTCCTTTCAGGTCGCTATGGTGCTAATCAGAGTGTGCCAGTAGGAGCTCGCTGGTAGACTCAAATCATATTTTCTTGGTTCGGGCCATTTTGATACTAGGAGTGTTCGTACATATGGGATAGAGGAGGTCATGTTAATTGATCGATGAGTCTTAGGGGCATTAGAGGGAATTTCACCGCATAGGCGTCTTGTGTTAATCATGGTCATCGACAAACGGCAATAATCACGAAGATTACGAAGATTCCCATTTTCCTTTCACTGTCCATCTGGCAGCATGGTTGGGGAGTTATGGTACTTGAGGGATAGGTTTTTCATTTGTACATTTGTGGAGGATACTTCGGCGGTGGCAATAATTCAATAGGCGTAATTCATTTGCCATTTTCACTTTAGTAACATAGGAAGGATGGCCAGTATTTTGAGATCACAGAATACCATAACAATCTGAAATTCCAAATTTTTAATATCTGATATGAATGACCGTGAGAGCTAATTGTCAACCGATGCATTTATCTACACGTGATACCGTGGATTTAGCGTGTATTAAAGATGTATGACGCGACTTTGAGCTCCATCGCCATCATCAACAATACAATACACCACCAACTTGGTCGTGACATAACACCATAGTTAATTCACTTTCTAGCCCCTATGAAGTTTGATAAGTAAACGATTGCTGAGCTTTAATCATCAAAATGCCCGCGTACGTATCTTTGATTGAGTTTCTCGACGCAACAATTAACAATCTTCAGTCCAGGCGAACAGCACAGTGGACGAGCGATCGCGAACCCATTCGAAGAGGTCAAACCGCGCATATCAGAATACACAGCACAAGAGATTGCTACATTACAAAGTAGACTAGAGAAACAACTAGGACCCGAATATATATCATCGCGAGCAGGACCATCAGGACACAAGGTACATTATATCACAGCGGAGAAATGTATTCAGCTTGCCAACGAGGTGTTCGGATTCAATGGTTGGTCGAGTCAGATCATCGAGACACAAGTAGACTTTGTAGATGAAAATGCTACGACTTTGAAAGTTAGTTTAGGACTCTCGGTCATTGTCAGAGTGACGTTGAAGGATGGTACTTTTCATGAAGATGTGGGGTATGGACACATTGAGAACTGTAAGGGCAAGGCGGCGGCTTTTGAGAAGGCGAAGAAAGAGGGGACGACAGATGGGTTGAAGAGGGCATTGAGAAACTTTGGGAATGTGTTGGGTAATTGCATCTATGATAAGGATTATCTGGCCAAGGTCACGAAGATCAAGGTCCAGCCTGTCAAGTGGGACGTCGAGAATCTACACAGACATTCGACATTTACTCCACAAGTAGTCGCTAAGAAAGAGATTGACGCACCAAAGGCCGCGGAAAAGGCTCAGGGCCCTGGACCGGCGAGTACAAGCTTATCAGGTATGTTTTGAAAATGCGGTGGCAAAATATACAACTAACGATCGGATTAGGCGATGACACATTGATAGGAGATGATGAGTTCGGGGGTATGAAGGATACTAATTACATAAAATAAAACATTGCTGATGATGTCCAGATTTCGACGATGCCGATTTCAACGTTGCAGATCCGAATGCTCACCCGGATGAAGTTGCACTTCCTCCCCCACGAACTGCTTCACACCATTTCAACAATGCCAGAAACAATAACAATGCGCCCTCGGGAAATACAGGGCCACCAAACCAAAGCCGAACTTCTGTGCCTTCGGGACCCCCAGTTCCCATAATCAAGAGTGGACCGTTAGTTCAACCAAATCGACCACCAGAAGCTGGTGACCCAATGATCACTCGCAATAATCATCCCCCACCAGCACCGCGAACACCCAATGCAGGTCTCGCAAGATCGATCAGCGCAGCAGGATCTATTGTTCGCGCCCCTCAAGACCTAGTTCAACCCAACCGTCCTGCTAATCTTGTTAACGCGTTCCCTGGCCGCGTTTTAAACCAACCCAATAGACCTCAACCTCAACCCCAAGCAGCATCCGGTCCCCCATCCCCATCCCGCAACAACGACATAACCGATGAAATGCCCCCACCAGGAGCCGGTTTTACCTCTGCTCGCGCTGCATCTCTCCTTCCTCAAGATCACACACCCTCCCAAGTTCCCCCTGCAAATCTCAACCTCCCCGCCTTTAACCCCAACCTCGAATCCCCATCTATCCGGCGTACCCCAGGAGTTGATCAGAAATCTTCCAAACCACTTTCCCGCGACTTGAAACCTGTCCCTGCGTCTCAGACTCAAGTCTCTACTACTGGCCCACCACAAGCTCAGCCAGCTTCTCGTCCTGTTGTCGCTGGACATAGGAATATCAATTTGGGAAATCCACAATTAGATACCACGAGAAGAATTGGTGCGCCTGGTAGCCCGAGTCCGATGAATATGGGAAATAGGAACAGTTACAAACCGCCGACGATGATGAAGAGGCCAATGCCGGAAGCGAATAGAGCTCCGCTGACGGATTTACAGACGAATGGTAGTGGAATGGCAGGGGATGAGCATGGAAATGGGGATGCGAAGAGACAGAGGTTGAATGGGATGTAGGTTCCAAAACAAATGGCCCTTTGGGAGGGCGAAACACTTACATGACGCATCGAGATGGAGATGTGATAATGAAGATAGTAGTTAGTTGGTATCAGAGGCGTTATGATGGGTCGAAGAATGGGCTGGAAAGGGATGGAATGGACATGCCAAGCAAGGCACTTTTCATAATGACGGAGTTTGTCTATATCTGGAGTTCGCTGGGTATTCTTGTACATTGCGCAAGCACACTTTTGCGCTCACTTGCTTGTTGGTAGCCGATCATGGCTAAGTTAAGGATTCGTTAGGCTGTGCTGTTAAAAAGTGCTTTGAGATATCATAGGGCATGTTTATTCGCAGAATTCGTATTATGTTATTGGTGCTTTTTTGCATTGTTGATTATGAAATTTTTGTTCTATATGTCTACTTGGTGTAGATACGCATGGAGATCAAGAAACTGATATAACTCTAGCTGCAATAAGGGGTTTTAATTAGGTTACTCTGGATCTCGGCAGTTAAAAAACGTTGATATCCAGGCAAATTCATATTTGAAGTTACTCGGTATGCATAACATCATTCACCAGGTCATACTTCACATAGATTCAAGGCAATGAAGTTTAGAAAATGCTCGCTGATATTCAAATTCCGCTTTGCTTTTTGGCTTATAAAGTGCCTACTGTACTATGTATAAAAGATGCTCCAAAGGAAGAATAGTCTCTTTGATAAAATCTACATGTAATCGACCCGCGCCATCACGCCCAAACACCAACCATGCATGTTCTCGTTCCTTCAACGCCACCAGCCTCTCCCCAATGCCCCCACCGTGTCCTTTATTTGACAATCAAGACAGCAGAAGGAATCAACCCGGCCTCCTTCAAGGTCTTCCCGAAATCCACTGGACCCTCAAAGGTCTTCTTGGGGTAAGTCATCGTGAAACTAGTCACCGAACCGAGCTCGGCCTCGAGTTGCTGGGCGATTTCGAAGAGAGTAGTATCGACCGGGTAGGTCTTAGTCATGACCCCGGTGGCAGTTTGTAATCTCAATCGAGATTCGGTGTGGACTTTAGGGGCGCCAGATGAAGCTGCGGGCGCGGCTATGGGTGCTGCTGCTGGCGCTGGAGGAGCACGACCTTCGCGGAGAGCTTTGGCTGCCTCGGCCTTGAGACGACGTTCCTCCTTATCGGCAGCGATCTTCTCTTGGATGCGCTTCTTGGCCTGGACATCAGCAGCTTTCTCGGCACGTTTGGCTTGTGCCTCCTTGATCTGTTGGTCTTTCGCCAGCTTCTCTTTGGCATCCGAGACTTCCTTCGTGGACTTCATGCGGATTTGCTGTGGAGAATAACATGTTAGTTTGATGCGGGGTAGATGGATGTGGAGGAGCAGGTGTGGAGTCCAGATAGATTTAGGAATAGTAAGCAACGAACCTCATTGCGCTTGGCCTCCTCTCTGTCAACCAGGGCCTGCTTTGCCCTCTTTTCCTTCGCCTTCTCGCGGAGCTCTGCGAGCTTCTGTTGCTTCTCTTCTTCCGTGAGAGGGGCGATCTCTTCAGTCGACTGCTCGAAGTTCTCATGTTGACTATGTAATCGTATTAGTAAATCTTTGTGTGAAAAGGTATGGTTGGTAGATCTTACGTCTTCTCAGCGTGAAACTGGACCTGCATCATGGAGCGGAACTTCTTGCCACAATCGGTGCAAACCATCGACTTTGCCTCTTCGCCATCCTTGAGTGGCGCGGGCTCGATGTTGGGATTCGTCTCGTCGGAATCTGGTGCTGCTGCAGCTTCTGCAGTTCGGATCTCTTCGATGCTCTTGTCTTGGTTGTCTTCGAGCCATTGTAGAGCTCCGTTCACTGTAGTAAATAGTCAGTATGCGGGGTTACATAGATCACGTACAAGGGATATGCAAGTTGGAATTTATACATACATCCGCCCGTCTTCTTAACTGCAATTTCGGCCTTTTCCTTGTCGAAGCCCATGTCGAGAAGTTGTTGGAGGTCACTTGGTGTAGACATCTTTTCTGTGTGTTTTGGTATGTTGTCTAATTGTGAGTTAATTGTATGGAAGTTGTGTCTTTGTAAGAGTATCGGAAATATTATGTCGAGTATTATTATGACGAGATGCAAGAGCTCAGGGTTCTGCGGAATAATATAATGATAGGTGGGCCGTACTAGAAAGCACTAAATATGGGGTGAATGTATTCGATATCTAATTGATTGATTAATTGACTGGAATTCTGTAAATTGCCGTATTTATTTATATATGATGATCAATGATAATGAGGAAGCTTCGAAGCCAGGTAGAAATAAGGTATGGAATGGATTAGTTGAATGTTCTAGATTGAATTGAAGCAATGTATACTCGGGTATTCTTATTGTATCTGTATCTATATATCTATACATCTACACGCCTAGTATACACCTCCACACTCGGAATGTGATAGAACGTTCAAATAGCACAAAGGCTGCTACTTATTACTAGGTATAAAGGATAAATTTGATTGATTAGATATGGATCTTTTGATGACGTTAGAATTCCGCCTACCCGTATGTACACACAGACATACACACACATACCTACACACACACACACACACACACACACACACACATACCTACACACACACACTTCTCTGAGCAGCTAGGTATATACTCGAGTTACCTAGGTATCGCCGAATAGTCCAGATGTCCATTTCTGGTCAAATGCTTTACTTCGTACTTACTCACTCACTCTAGAGTCTACTAGGTATACATTATGTACTCTTGATCATTCATTTGCCCACCACTCAACTTGGACTATTGATTGAAGACATTGAAAGTTTGATCGACAGGAATGGCAAAATTCATGAAAATGATTAGAATCAAATTAAGACATGATATTTTTTGCATATATTCGTAAAACCAGGTATAATACAATAAATGCCAATCCAGTATTATCATATGTAGGTAGCTGGAGGTAATCAAACTAATCCAATAATAATAATAACAATAATAATTCACCCCTTTCTTAACAATTTATCATCTGTTTCTTGAAAGATACAAATACATACATATACATACGAGACTCTACCCATCTACCCATCTACCCACCTACCTATGTATCATATGTATCATCATATGTATTGGCCGCAATAATCCAACAGGGAATGACAAACGACCACCCATCACCTTCTTTGTCACTCTCGGACCCTCGTCATTACATATCAACCACCTCGAGCGAAACACACCCCATCCTAATAAATAATTCCTCAACTTACAAATATTATTCTGGCTTAATCCCACAATCCCACAACCTCACAAACACTTTGAATACTTTGAATCAACAATAGTAATACGCCCATCATGTCCGTCGAAATCGATTCGCAAGAGCTTGGCTTTCACCGTACGCTATCATAAATTATTCTCCTCCGAGGAAGGGAAAGACACGAGATGGGAATTCTAACATGTGGCAGGTCCTTTTACCACTGAGGTGTCGCAAACATTGAGAATCAGAAATCCGAATCGTACTCCCGTTGGTTTCAAGGTAGGGACATCTGCTGCCATGTCGTTGGCCGTTCTACAAGTGCTAATGTGGTCTATTTTCAACAGGTCAAGACCACTGCGCCCAAACAGTTGGTTCTACTACACCTCACACCTTCGAAATATCGTTCTAATACTTGCGAATAGATACTGCGTGCGACCAAACTCTGGTAAATTGGAGCCGGGAAGAAGCATAGATGTCACTGGTATGCGCCGATTAGGATGGCAAGCAGTACGTGGCTAGGGCTAATCTTGCTGGCATAGTTCTTTTACAGGCAATGAAGGATGAGCCACCTCTCGATGCAAAGTGCAGAGATAAATTCTTAGTTCAGTCGGTCGAAATCACACCAGATAAGGAGTTTGTCGATTCGCCCTCAAACGTACAGTACCCACGATATATAATCTATAGGGACATTCCCTCACATGGACGTACGCTAACTGTATTTCATACAGCATGTCGACCGAGCAGATAAGAAGGATATCCAAGAGAAGAAGATTCGTGTCGTTTTCCTCCCACCAAAGTCGACAGGAGCAGCAGCCAATACACCTTTGAGAAATGGTGTTAATGGAGCAAATAGTGCGGTATGTTCTGGTTCCTTGTGTACCATCCCCGAGGAAGCGGAATTGACTAACACCAACATCTCTAGCTTTCAACCCCAGACACTGCCCCTCCAGCCTATCGATCAGTATCTCCCGAAGAACATTTCACCCCTGCAGCAAACCGTGTCGTACCAGGAAACTCAGGCCCAGCCCCCTCCGTCAGTATCAACGACGAGCCAATCGGCAATCGCAACCTCGGCGATGCTCGCTCTTCTGCTTTCAACCCCGCAGCTAGTACCAGCAGAGAAAGTAATGCATCCGCAGTCACCGCCCCAACCGGAATGCCTACCTCCGTCGAAGAACTCCAAGCCCAACTCACCGAAGCGAAGAAAACTATCGCATCCTACGCCGAACAAGGTGGTATGAGAATGAGAAAAGTGGCAAATGGGGAAACGTCAAATGAGACGGTCAATGAAATGGCTACCAAGTTGCAAGGTGTAGAAGGTGTACCTGTACAAATCGTCGCAGCTCTATGTTTGCTTAGCTTCTTACTCGCATACCTGTTCTTTTGATCTAAAGTTGGGTATGCCTGTCTGCTTGCATTCTGACTTTTGGGTTGTGTGGTTTCTGGCTTTGATGGGTTATAGCGTTGCACCTCTCTCTTCCATTATTGTATAAGAGGACAGACACGAAGCGAAATAATCAATATTGGGTGTCTGGTGCTCTCGGGTGCTGTTACTCTTAGGTACTGGTTTCTTGGTTTCTAGACCTCGTTCTTCTTCTTGTACTTTTGTGAAAGTATAAGTACAAGAGAAGAACCCTCTAATTTTACGTCGATGCCTCCAATAATTTACATTTCCTTGCTGTTGATTTTCATTTCTTTTCATTTCTTTTTCGATTTCCTCTCGCCACAGCTTTTGCATTACGAATGTACCACCTGTATTCTATTGCTTTTTTTCAGACGAGTTCAGCCTTTTGACAAAGTTACTTTTCCTTTACGTTTTCTTTCTTTTGTTGCGGTGCGTGGAGGCTTCTGTATAAGCGTTCGCCCGAAAAAATATGGGTGAAGGAAAGAGAGATGGGGAAGAGGCCAGAAGACCCGGATCTGGCTGGACTGGGCTGGGCTATGCTGGAATGAACCAAATCGGTAATATGGTATCGGATGTATGTAGCTAGAGAGAGCGAGTAGGCAATGAAGTGCTGGTATGATAGCGAGTTACGTTTGATACATAGTAGGTAGTTGGTGAGGTAAGGTACAAAATCTCAATTAAATTGTAAAAGACAATTGCAGAAGTGACAATTGATATCATGTGTACCTTGTATATTTGAAGAAACATATATATATATATATGTGTGTGTGTGTACGCTGAAAAATGCATTCTATAACTCATCTCATCTCATAATCGTATATAAAAATTCAAATCAAGGATTATGTTCCTCCTTCCACTCATAGAAGGAATCCTCTAAAACTCGAATCTCATCTCATATCACATCTAAAAGAAAACAAAAAGACGAAATCTAAGCCTGGACCTCCTGCTGCGTCCAACCTCCGACTTTTCTTCCTCCTTCCTTTCTCTTAACTCTACACGTCATTCCAACCTCCTTATCCCACACAAACTGCCATATCACATAAATCCAACTCTCATGTCTGGGCAACTCTGCATAGAACTCCTTGGCTATCTCGTGCAGGGCGGGTAAACGTGTCCAGGGAACAGCGGGGAAATCATGATGTTCATTATGCAGTCCAACATTGTAGGTGAAGAAATTGAGAGGACCGTAATAAGAAAACGTCTCTGGGATTTCGACACCGGTTTTGGGGTCGCGGGCTGCGAGGGGCTGACGCTCGAAAACGTAGTGCTCGGCGATGAAGTGTCCGGCGCAGGGGTGGAGGGAACCGGCCAAAAAGGCGGAGAGGATGAGGTAGTAGAGGGAGTTGTAGGAATTGGTTGATTTTACGAGGAGGATGTCGAAGACGACTTGCACGAAGATGTTGAAGATGTGGATGGAGGTGAAGGGGACGGCGTAGACGAAGATGGGACGGATGGCGTAGAATAAGATCTGGAAGGTGCAGAAGAAGGCTTTTCCAAGGAGGGAATCGAGGAACAGGGCTTCAAAGCGGGTGGGGAGATCGGTATCTAGACCGTCGACGCCGAGGGATTTGTGGTGGGTAAGATGGTATGGCTGGGGATTTGTTAGTTTTTGGAAAATTGGAGGGGTTTGATAGGCGTAAACGTACTCTGAAAGAAGCAGAATAAGGAATTCCAATAGGTAGATTTGCAAAAATCGCCAGTGCCCGATTCAAGGTTGGGTTTCTAAATGCCAAATTGTGGGATATTTCGTGGATGGCAAGGAACAGGTTTTGATTTGCGGTTGCGCCAATGATGTAGGCAGTGAGGAAGAATTTCCAGGAGAGGAAAGGTGTATTGCGGAGGAGGTAGGCGCAGAGGATTTGGATTGATACGACGAGGAGAACGACATATTTAGTGAGGGGCTCAGGTCCGCAAAGTTTAGTTACCTGTGGGGAGGGGATTAGTATATATTCTTGATTGAGAGATGATAATAAGGAATTGAGATGGATAATTACCTCAGGATGAGCTTTGATAATAGCTAAACGTCTGCTTCGGTGAGGTTCCTCGGTATATGTCCAAAAGAAATCATGTTCTTTCACATCGATATCTTGTCGTGGAGGGGCATCTTCATTCTTTTCTGAAACACCTGCTCCATTGGTTCTTAATCGTGGGGTGGTTGATCCCGAGGTTGTGATCGTAGAAGTAGCTACCGGCGGCATGATGAAAAAACTTGTTGTTATGCCACTCTTAGCAACTTTTTCGTGATATGGCTATATGGTGGCGTGGTGTTGTAGATAAAAGGTGTTTTGATCTGGAGAAACTGGATAAATAATATTCACCGATCCTTCGAGACTACGTTTCGCTACCAGATTAGTTTCGTGCCCTTTTCGAAGCTTGGTGGACTGTTCTTTGGATCGATTTTCAGGGGTACAAGGGGTTCATGGCACAAGGGTGACAGTTGAGTGGCCCGTGCTTCAAGACCCGCTATTTATTGTCCCGCCTCGAGAGGGCACGTGAGTGCTTATTCTTATCATCATCTCAGTGGTAATACGTTACGTATAGCTACTCTCGCTTCTCAGATGAGCTACATTTCGAGCTACGTCTCGATTAATCATAAGTTGATCTACGAGTTTGAAGGTACAATTGCAATATCATGGAGCAAGATACCTGCAAAGAATTAGTTCGATATATTCCTCCAGGTTTTTGGCACCCTCGTCCGCCTCGCAATGTTCCCCTCTCACACTCTTCTCTCTTCCAAGAGAGATCCGTGATATCATTTACCATTATACTCTGGTATCAACATCAAATATCATTGTCTGGAAAGGCAAGATGACACAAGAAAGGTTGCCCATATATAGGGGGACACAACGAATTTGGTCGCTGCTTACCGCACTTATAAGATGGCGAGCCGTTAGCCGCGAGGAGACAACCACTAGTCTTTCCACTCTCAATGTCAAACTCTTGTTTTGTAATAAGGTGGTGAGCCATGAAGCCGCCATAGTTTTCTACAACAAGAACACATTTGCTTTCGAGGGAGATCATAACTGGGATCCTGTTGTTCATTGGCTGAAAACCATTGGCACTGAAAATCGAAATTCTCTTGCAATTCTGGAGGTGTGTGACAAGCGACCCGATCAAATGTGGCAAAATTTCCGTGGAGAGCGTATGCAGCATCCTTTCAGGTATTCAGGTGAGGAAGTATACCTTAGGCATCCATACTTTGCCACCCCCATAGATGGTTTCAAATATGGCTGCGTCGACAACATCAACCCGATCGTGGAAGATGTTTTTGTATTGTTAGGACAGCGGGTCTCTAACAAGAAAGTTACTATTATCATGCGAACTGGTGCATCTTACCCTGGTGGAAGGACTGGTCTCGTTGAACCCAATGAGCTACACCCGACAAATGGCTGGTACAGCATGGAGCTGCCAAACTTGATAGAGAAGTTTCTAGAGCTTCATTCAACCCGCTCTATGAAGCGTTCAGTGGAGGTTCTCTGGAAAGGATTGACATATAAACGAGTCCTTGAGACGGAATTCATGGAGAATCTTGGGTGGAATATCTTCACCTCACCCGTCGAAAATGAAGAGGCACTTGCTATATTTGGTAAAGATCACAACAAAGATGAGACTTTCGTTAGGTACACACTGAAGAGAAAGAAACTCACGGGGCCACTTGTAACTCAAGATCCTTCGCCCTATTCAGACGTCCATGTATCACAGAAATTAGGGAGAGGGAGGTTTATTTTTAGAAACAGGAACATCTTCGAATTGATGATACACGATACTTGCTTGGTATAATTGTATAAGTTCATCTATAGCGTCTGATAATAACTACACGAGTCTGTTATGAATACTTAATCGATTGCGACAGCTGTAGAATGTACATCAATGCCAAGTGGTGGATCTTCCAAATCCCACAATACCTGCGGGCTAGCTGTGCAAACCTATTCTCTGAAATTACTTAATCTCAAAATTGTTCTATTATGCTAAATAAGCTCGGCTTCGCGGTGTCTGTTGCAGCAGTAGTAGTCACAAGAATGAACATTACAAAGACTTTGAGAAATTACAAGTTTCTGTAATACAGTAGGAAGTGAAATCCTTTCTCAATAGTGTTTTCGTAGATTGGAGAATTAGTTCGGTATCTTGTCCCATTTGGTCTATCATCTACAAAATCTGGACCGACGAATTAGTTCTGGGGTAAGTGGCTATTAGCGAGTGCATAATATTATATATTTCTCGACTATTGTTTTTGACAGTTGGCTCGAGAAAGAGAAGGGTATGCTAGGGAATGGTGAGACGTGATCTACTCTTAAGAAGCGAGGAAAGTATGCTTTGGGTGGGGAGCTGAGGAATGCTTTATTATCTTCTTCTACAGAAAGATATTCCAGCAGGACTTGCAGTTCTAAACTTCAATTTTCATTTAAAGTTGAATTTTTTATCTCTAGGGAACAGAATTAGATTCTCCCTGTAACCTTTAATGTAATCTTACTTCTGATAAACTAAGCAACCCATAACAACTTTGTTTCAACCTCGTGATATCTTTGAAATCATAAGCCTCATGACAACACAAACCTAGGTATTTGGGTCAAACTCGCTTAATCTTGAGTTCAAAACTGATGAGTTTGTGGAATCATGACCTTTCAAGGCGAAATCTTGTGTTAGTAGCGTGGGAGAATCCCAAAATCTATCATTTGTAGATACACCTTTATGAACATTCGACATACGAAACAGATTCAGAAAGGAGATGTGGTCTAGTGGATACGACATCTGACTCAAAATTAAATATTGGAGTAGAGAGGCCGAAGGCGCAAGCAGCGACTCGGCATGGTTCTCTAAGATTTGCCATGAGCTCATTTAACGGTAGTTCGAATCTATCCATCTCTATTTCATTTTTTCTTTCTCATGAAACTGAATTTTGGGAGAGATTCAAGGATGGAAAGTGGTATGAAGAAGGGGAATGGGGTGAGGGGTACAATGTGGAGGAGGGGGTAAGAGTGGAGATTGCGTGGCTACTGATTTTATTTGCCTTTTAGGCAAGTGAATAGATCCACAGAGTGCTTCAATCTTTCCTTTTTCCCCTTATTATGGATATAAGCCACCAAGTTGTTTAGGATAACATAAGCCAAGGAAGGATATCAAAGCTGAAGGGGATGTGGCCTAGTGGTTAAGACATCTGTCACATAGTTTGGGTCGGTTGAGCCAGCGCGGTCTCTCGGGACGCGCGGGTCCTGACCCTGCCGTGAGCACAGGTGACGATAGTTCGATTCTATCCATCTCTACTCTTATCTTTTTGCTGACATCAAAGGGTGGAACTTTTGTATTCAAAAATAGATGATAATTTGGTTTTTTGCTTCTGAGATGATCAAGCGAAAAGTTTTAAACTTTTCTCCTTCCAGTGGCATATAAATAGGTATTGGCGAGAAAGTCATATTGATATATTGGGGATGTGGTCCAGTGGTAAGACACATGTGATGAAGTGGGCTTTTCGAGCCAAGTTGCGCGTCTTTCGGGAAACTCATGAGTATGTGCTTTTCGAGCAACTCTTATGAGTAGTAACTTCACCTTTAGAACATGAGGCGATAGTTCGATTCTATCCATCTCCATTTTTTTGCCATTTATCTGCTCAATGGTTTTTATTTAGTTTGTATGTATGTTTGGATGGGCTTTTGACAATCAGAAACGTCTATCTGTTTCTTTCATTTCATGAATCATGCGGGACTTTTTTCAAAAAATTGTATGACGGGGGCGCCTGGTCATGTAATATATTGCAGCATGTTAAAATCAAACATCAAACAAAGAATGGTAGAAAGTATGCTCTACGTAAAACGCATACTATGCGAAGTGTGATATAGAGACGAGACTGAAGGTCAACTCATCGCAAATATTTTGCGTGCATGAAGTGATAGTTGTGACACTTTGCCTTAGAAGAACTGCGAGAGCAGGGTACAATTTATCCTTAAAATCTATAACTACAGAATTGGGAGCAAAACGCTTGTAGAGCACTTCTATATACTAGTTATATACATGTAATTGTGTATATGTGTAAATGTGTATATAAGCAATTATAGCTATAATTAGATGCGATTCGTAATATTACCCCCTTTTTCAAAAAAGCTTATTCTTAAGCTTTATAATTATTTAATCTATAGATGTATTAGCAATTCTAATAAAGTGTTATTGTTTATATTATAGTATAATATAGTAAATGAATGTATACACAAATTTTGCTTTTTTCGTAATAGAAAGATGTATAGGAAATGAAGGAAATTGTTTTGTAATCTAATAATAGTACAAAGCCTTCAAAGTATATAGATTATTCGAATTTCTCTCTTTCTTTTAAATCTTTTTCGATTATTTATTTTTTTTGTATTTCTTGATCAATAATCAATATGCCTTTTATATTATCAAAAAAACATAATAATAAGAGCAAGTTATTATTAGTACAACTAAAGTAATAGGAGGATATATATATGATAGTGAATTGTTTATTTTTCTTTTGCATTTGCTTTGCTAATATATTTCTTTATAGTTTATAGTGAAGAGAGTGTCTGTCTTTTTTGTTATATAAAATAAATATTTTATTAAAAAAAAGAAGGAATCGAGCTGTAATGGGAGTAGTAATAATTCTATCAGCGAAAAGGAAGATGATAAGGAAGATGGGTTGAACAATGAAGATGTATGTAAATGAGGCTTTCTGTCACGGTGTGAGCTCACGTGATATGCTAGTCCTATCGGAGAGGACCGAAAGGAGCGCTCACACCGGAGCGCAAGCGAGCTAGGGCCCGATCGGGTTAGCTCGCTGTGAAAATTCCGTATATCTTCAATTCAGAAGATCCTGTATTGTAGCTCTTTGAGCTACATCTTAATCCTCAATCTGAATCTATTACTCGAATCAGTATAACTTTGCCAGATTAGGGTAAAGTTACTAGAACCCTATCCCACCCGCCTGCCCCCGTAATACTATATAGCTCCTATCCATTAAAATATCGCTTTCGCGATAACTACTCCGCACCCACCTGGCCGGCCTAGGGACTCCTCAGAATTTGGCACTTTTGTATTAGAGGACCCTAGATTTGATATCAATACCTCCAATCGACATCTACATATTATATCGAGCTGAAAAAGATTAATAGATTATTCGAATACGAAATTTCCGAATCCCTAGTCCACAAATATATTCAAGCCATTCTGCACAAGCAGGTTGCTATTCAAAACACTTATTTACTCGATTGCCTTACCGAATCCACACCTACTATACCTACTCATTTAGAAACTATATCTCCCGAAACTCTTGCTAACTTTATTCCTGAATCTATTATACCTATTCCAATCATTCAATTGAATAAATACATCCCCAATCCAAAAGAGTTTAATAATATCTGCTCCGATCTGTATAGATTTGTTCAATAGATACATAAAAAATTGAATACAAATAATAATAGATTCCTAACAACTTCTATCCGTTTGACTTATACTGCTAGAAAACTTACTAGAAAGGTATATAAACTTATACTACCTAAAATCTCCCATAGAATTCCTCAGTTTACCAATTATATCGCACTCCTTGAATATCTCGAAAACGCTTTTGGGGATCCTGATTGAATATAAAATGTACAGAATAAACTATATATATTGAAATAAAAACACCTCGATTTTAGTATTTTTTTTATAGAATTCCAGAGACTCGTTTTAGAAGGAAAGATATCTAATGATATTCTAACCCCACTTCTATTTCAAGGAATCTCTCACAAACTATAAGATATACTATTGCATAACCCCATTCCAACCTATAAATTTCATTAATACACTAATTACCTATAACAATTCAATAACCGATTCTATCAATACCAACAACAAATCCATTATATTCATTCTATCGCTTTCGAAACTTTATTCCGGAAAATAATCATTATTCTATCTTTACAACTCGCTAGCCTGAAGTCTACTCCTAAAGACTTAATAGATCTGAGCTTAGGAAAAAAGGAATATATCACTAGGAATCTAGATTTGCAACAGGAACACAACGAATACTATCGCTACAGCTCTGCCAGCTACCTAATACAAGACTACCTACATCCCGATACCCATCCTGTTTAACTCCAAGTTACCACTACTACAACCAGCCCTATAAGAATCAGCCCTGTATTGAACAATCCTTCAAGAGGCTGAGTCCCTATCCATTCCCCACCTCGCTCTCCTCCTCACTCGCCGACCAGCTCAATCAATTCGGGAAACGGGATATACCTAATCTAAATCGCAATCAGGATGATCCTCTGCATACCCTCCGCTTATCTATTACTGCTATTCATAGCCTTCCTTTGAAAGATAAACTAAACAATCATACAGATCTGATAATTCTACCTATCACCCTACTTTTGGAAAAAGACACTCTCCCGATTTATACTATAATCGATAACAGATATAAAGGAATTGCCTTTGCAGATCGAAGCTGGATATCTTCCCAGAAAATATCAGTATATCAACTATCTACAGCATTCGAAATCATAGGATTCAATAAAAACACTCTACCCGATAATCGAGTTACCTCCTACATCCGAATAAAACTCAGAATCAACAATTATATCAAGAAGAAGATCGTTTTGTATATAACCAAACTAGTCTATTATTCTATTATACTGAGAATAGCTTAGCTTAAAAAACACAATCCCCATATCGACTTCACAATAAACTCGTTCCAATTCGATAGCTTGTTTTGCTATAAATTTTGTAATATTTTGTTCTGCCTATTCTATATAAAAGCTTTACCAGATATTCCTCCAAAAGTCTAATCTGTATAC